GGTTTCCTCCGGAGGAGAAATCACATCAAAGACATCAAAAGGCCGAAAGTGTGGAGCCTCAACGTTAGGCTGAAAAAGTATCGCCTCACCAGACCGGCCGGAGTCTATGAACCATGGTTAACACAAATATACTGCTTTAAAGATGTTCACTCTGAACTGTAGCTGAACTATAAATGATAAAAAAGTGTCAAATAAACTGCACCTGACACGTTGAGCTTTTACTAAGCAATAGCCCACGACTGGAATGTAAAACTACGACTGTGACCGTGATATTAAATTCAAATGAGTTTTAAATTCGGATTTTATATGCTCGGTTTCCAGGCCAGTAATCTTCACTAATAACTGGCAGTTTAATATCACTGCAATAGTCAACTGAGTGCCAACTACTGAAACCATTTATCCTCAGACAACACGTCCAACACTATTTAATAGGCATCAATGAGCCTTAACATGAGCATACAGACATAGTAGCACTGGTCTATGCTAGTTTAGCAAACAAGTGCAGCTGTGTGACAAGGAAATCTTTTAACTTTGCCACACTTTAGGTGTAGTGGTGAATTTTTCAAGCAACTGTTGCTAAACAAAAGGATTACAAAGTAGAAGCAGAGATTTTAGTGACTGTAAAAATGTAGTTGCTCAGGTGAGGGTGTGCCTGCCTATGTGCAAAAATGAAAACAAATAGTGAAGTATATTTAAACTGCAGTTAAATTATTTTAGCCACACCACCACTCTGTCGTTCTGGACTACAACATCTCAACAAATACTGGATGAAATTTTCTAGTGGTATCTATGGTGCTGAAAGACATTATGCTGATGATTTGGTGATCCTCTGACATGTGTGACAGTCAGGAGCGAACTGTCTCCATAGCTACTGGATTGCCACAGAATTTACTACAGATGTCCAAGATCCCCAGAGGACGCATCTGAATGACTTCAGTGATCCAGTGACCTTTCCTAAAGCACTACCAGCAAGTTAAAGTTTGCATTTATTTAATTAAATATCGCAACATCAAATTCCTACAGAGCTAATCACATTCCCTTCAGCTGCAGCTGGACCTCAGTGTTAATTAGCAAAAGTGAAGATTTAAGCGTTATATACCTATAGGAATGTTCATGCCTGCTGATGTGATCACTTAGCTCAAAGCACTGATGTGCCTAAGTGCAGCCGCACAGAGCTGCTGCCATGGCTGAGAAGTCTGGTCCCATTTTTAGCAGCATGAGAATAGTCTTTTCATGTCAGCTTGAGGTGAAATCCTCCACATGCTGTAAGAAGTCAATCATCATTAATCTATTTGGTTTTCAAAGCCAATCAACCACTAACATCTGTGTTTCCTTATTCAATAAGCGAGCAACAGAGAGAGATGTTAGATGAAATGGCATTTGTTTAAACACAGAGCATTACATCAGTCCACTTGCTTTGCAATGCAAACAATATGCAAGCTCTGTTTATTATTGGCTGCCTAACCTTAAGTGACATTATGATGCTGAAGATCAAACTGAAGCGTAGTGATTTCTCTGCTTGCTCATTCCCATGAAGACTATACTTCTAGTTTAGCATTCATCACTGGGAAGATGCAAGTCTCTTTACCTTCACTGGGAAGATGCAAGTCTGTTTACCTTGCTCTGCTGCTGTTAGCCACTGTCAGATCATCAGTTTGACATTGACATTCTGCTCATTGTGACTAAAGGTGAGACATGATGCACTGAGAACCAAAGGTAGTGTTTTATCTCAAAAATAAAAGTGCACATAAGGCATGTAGACTTGAAAAACAACTAAAGAAGGTGCAGTCGTTCTGAGCTTTCTGCAATAAACATGCACATAAAAATTCAATTCATACATGCATTCTGATTAAAAAATGACCACATAAATCAGCCATGAGTGTCTTAACCTGTTTAATCTGCTATGGCCCAATTAGCTGGTGTACAGTATGCCACTACACATCACTCCACCTCCAGCCTTCTTGGCTGATCACAGGACTGCTGGCCTGTGACTAACAGCTAATGACTCCTGAAAGCTATAATTTCTTTTAGTGCACATGCAGGAGGTGTGGACTGACCTTGGATTCACCTGTCCTGATGACTGAGTGTTCATCTAGGAGTGCCAGCACACTACCTGCTGTTAACTGTTGCCACCTCTGACACTGAGAAGGACATTATTGAAAAGAAGCATAATGAAAGGCTGAGATTAAAGAGCTTAGCATTGTGCACTCAGATGAGGCAACTTCAAGCACCATTCCAGTTTATTTGGTTTCATCTTTCCTGGTTTAAGATGGTTTTGTCTATTAAAATATTTCTTCTTGGATGTTTGAACCTGTATTTTAAATTTTAAACCTGTACTTGATTGCTCATGTTGTTAATGTTTTCAGATTTGAGCAAAATCATATCTTCACTTATTAGAATGAAGTGGCAACTAAAAAAAAAAAAAAGGGGGCCACGTTTGGTCTTGTCCTGAAACATTAGGTCTTAAACAGTCATATTGTTACATGGAGTACATGTTTTTGTGTATGTCTTTGCCAAAACACACAGATCTTTCTAATCCAGTGACTGAACATTTGATCTCAACCGTCTTGAATTCCAACACAAGTCAGATGAAATCTGGTAGCTCTTACAGTATGAACCAAACGTCGGCTGCTACTCAGTGACCACAGGTGAAGCTACATTAAGTGAACCTATATCCTGGATTCCACCCTGTGTATCTATGGCGTTATATTTGTGCCTTATTCCTGCATGAGCACAACACAGGACCTTCTGTGAGCAGGAAAATGTTTTTTTACAAGCACACAAATGACATATTATTACCATGCATACAATTGTTCAGTTTGAGCCATACCTATCCATTATCCATTAGGTAATACTTAAGATTGCCTCGTGCTCACACGCATGACACATGGACCCCTGACAGGCCTTTATAATTTAGACGGACAAAGAAGGAGAATGAGGGTCCCATTGAGAAGCAGGTGGGATGGTTGAGCTAATGAGTGAGCCTATTGTTGGGAATTACCCCACTGTCACGGTGCAGGATCACAGAGAACAGCTCATCCCTGCGCTCTCACGAACACCATCACACACACATCCAACACTCCTCAAGTGCTGACAGGTACGGGCCTCTGGCATGCATCGCTATGCCTGCGAGCCTGCGAGCCACCACTCAGTGTAAAACCACAGAGACAGAGGAGACGCATAAAAAAGGCCACACGCTGTCAAGTCACTATGAAAAAAACATTCTTTTACAGCTTCAGGCAGCTGGTGCTTCTGACCAAACCTCACACAATTACATACACTCTTCTCACTCGTATACACACACGCACATGTTCCTCTAACGCTGTTGTGCCAACAGCATCACGGGAACAACTGACGGCACCAAGAACAGAAAGAATCAAGGCTGAGATCACAGAAATCTCTGGAAGTGAAACATCATGACAAAATGACCCACTGTTCATGGCAGAAGCACTTCCAACATGTGGCACGACTGATGCTGCATGTATGTATAGCATCTTCACAGTTATTTCTTATTCTTAATAATAATCACCTTTATTTTTGGCCAAGTATGTTACAAGGAATTTGTTTCTGGTACAGAAAACTATTGAGATGTTTAGAAAAGGGATCAGAAGCAGAAACAGTGTTAACATGGTTCATTCTGGTACTGAGTTGTGCAGTAGGGGGTGTTTTGAAACTATTGGAAGTCCATGGATTTCCAGTTCCAACTCTGACATATCCTGGATAATGATTTTAATATGCAACTGTTTGTAACCTCCAGTAAATAGAAGAAATGCTTTGTTTGTGGATATGCTTTACAACAAGGATGTCTATTTATGTTGTCTGTCTGTCCATCTGTATACATTACCTTCTTTCACTTTCATCTGTAGCAATGCCTCTCACCACAGTTTGGGAAAGTAGATAGAGATGCACCATAGATGTGGTAATTAAGATAATTATTACCATTTATGTTAGCTGGATATGGATATAAACATGAATGTAATTATTTGCAGTTAGCTGTGGTCATAACAAATTACCTTGCAGGTTTTTGTTGATTTTTGAGCTAATTACTGCCATTACGGTTTAGGCCAGATGAAGAATATATACAGTACGAAGCTGTTTACTGGAGTTTAGTGGTGGGTCTGCAAAACTAATTGATAAAATTGCTGAAGAACTTTATGCACCGAGTGCAGAAGATTCACTGTACTGTATGTAGGCCACTAGACATTTGCAAAGCAGTCACATAATAACAATGCTGGGAAGCCTAATTCTATATTCATGTCACACCGAAGGAACAGGTTTGCCATTCTCCTGCGTATAAAATCAGCACCCAAGTTGTATTTCTGACTATCTGATGGATGTATTCTTCCCAAAGCTCTGATATATCCAACTTGGCCACACTAAATAGAGAAATGACAAACACAGATGCTTAATTGTGTCAATACAAACCCTAATTTAACTCCATTTTTACTATGCACATTATTCTTCACCCCCACATGATCAGTTCTGACCATGATAATTGTGGCTTATTGATGGATATCTATCCATTTCTGTTCCTGGATTTCTCTGCCTTTTGACAGTATTATAGGCTAATACAGGACCCAGTTTACAGGCAAATGCCATTTTAGAGCCAAGTGGAAATGCAAATGTTTATTCAACTCATGAGGAAAATGTTTGGTTTTCATCCTGCTATCCTAAAACTAAATGGCATAAAAAAAAAACAAGCAATTGATTTATATTACCACCGTAGGTTTCACATAATAGACTCTATATGCACTTGTCAGGCGTAGCAGACCTAAACATAATATAAATAGTATGGATAATATAAAGACCTAAACAACAAAACCAGAGAAAAACCAACCGGGCCCGAAGAAAGGAAAGGAAAGATCACCAAGCAGCTAACAATCTCACGCCCTCATAAAGCAGAAACATTAAAACTCCAGGGTAAGCATCACTTTTGTTATAAACGACCATTTAATGTCATTCAAAGACCTTGACGGGCAGAATAGTAGCATTTATCTTACCACGGTGAAGACGCCAGTTTACATCCTAGGGCGCAGGTGGCCTGATGATTTCCTCAGTGTTGCGCACTGGGATCGGCGGGGACGCGTTTCAATCCGCTTTATTGTAGCAAACAGTGCTCTGCTGCTTTAGTCTCATTCAAGCCAAATGCTTCTGTGTTTTTCTCAGTTCGTCCTCTTCAAAGTTGACATAGCATTTAGCGTGTTATTTATCTCATCTGTAGCTGCCACCGTTTAAAATTTCACCGCAAAATGGGGATATTTCCAAACTTCTTTTCCTGGAGGAAACAACAGCGAACACAGGGGTCAAACAAACAGGTCAAAGGTCAACTCCGCCTGAACTGATATTTAAAATGATGAAATGACGATTATGTCTCATTCAGTTGGCCATATAACAATAAGGACATACCGTGGAGAAGCACACTGACCGTGGTCGAAAAGTGAAAAGTAAAATTTAAAAAATTGAATGTGCAGACCTAGGTGGCCTGTAAGGACCTGTACCAACCATAAAGGCCTGGCTGCAGACAAAAATGGCTACCCCAAACCGATTTGTTTTTTTTTTTTTTTTTTTGACAAAAAACACAAAGCCAGTACATACAAACAAACTAAAATGAATAAAATATTTAGGCCACTCAATAAAGTCAAATAAAGATATGGGAAAAACATATCTAAGAATTAAATGGTGCCACATTCTTACAGCTCATGACAGAAATGTTTTGGTTTCAATGTGGAATCCATCCATTTCAGTACTGTAGACCATCACAGCGTTTTCCAGAAGTTGGGTTAACCCCTCACCCAAAGCTTATCGTGGATCAGATCCTAACCCTAAACCCGATGAGCTTCACAATTAATATTAATTTCCCTGCTGCCAAGATTAACAGCCCACCATCTTGGTCAGGAAGGTTCACTTGTACGCATCAGCTACAGTGCCAGTATATGCTCAGTTGTCAGTTTATTAGGAACAGCAAGCTAAAACTAATGTTATCTAATAAAAGAGCTCTGCTATATCTTTTCCTTTGTGAGGTGAATTATGTTCCATTCTTGTTGAAATGGTGTTAAAAAGAGTTTGATGCAACTGTGTGATCATTTTGGAAGCAGCAGATTGTGGGGCTGTTGAATAGCATTGCATTATGTTTCTATTAGTTTGTCAACTACATTCAAATCAGTGAAGCTAGGCTAAATAACATAAACACTTCTCTGTAAACTGTTCAAAAGTACAAATGTTCCAAAAGACCAAACATTATAACCTTGCAGTATTGTTGTACTAGACTGGCTGAGTATTAGCTAGGTCTTTCTAATAAACTGAGCATCAAATCGTGTTGTATCTGACCTGCATACCATTGCTTTGGTTTAGACTTGTGGCTGTGACACAGATGCTTTCTAACACATAAATGTCATAATTAACATTTATTCTGGGGTAAACAGCATTAGCTGCAGGAGATGACTTTAAAAGGATGTGATGAGTGAGACCAATTAAAAACAGGGTCAAAAGAACGATCACAGGATGTGTCACTTAAAATAATACTGCATACTTTGCAAAGAGTGCAAGGACTACAAAGACATGTCATAAGAATTGTTAAATTTACACTGAAAGCCCCACCAAACCCACTAATAGAGAAAAAAGAAAAGCTGACAAAGTAATGAAAGCCAAACAAATACACAGCCACTTGTATAGAGCTACTGTATATACTGAGTCTAGCCTGCCACTGTATTTCACCAAAACAGAAATCAAATAATCTGTATATATGCCGGATATTGTTCGGGTTTCTCATAAAAGCCTTCCTCCCTGGGATAGGCTTTAATGGCTGTTATTTATATTTGGGGTGGGCAGGTTTATTCTGTGCGCCTGCAGAAATCATTACACTTCCCCCCCAGGAAAAACTGTAGCAACGCATGCTTCACCCTGGCAGAGGACTCAGTGTTAATATGCTTCCCCTTTATCGGTTTTTCCTTTGGTGTTATTAGTTACCTACTTCAGGGATCATTAAAAAGGGACCGGGGACACAGACAGACAGACAGACAGACTACATACTGTAGTGTTTTGTTTGTTTTCTTACTGTGTAATGAGGTAGACCTTCTGATTATTGAATCTACACAGACTGAAGCTGAGGGAGTGACACAGTGAAGAGCTATTTAGTATTCATACAGTTACAAGTGAATTTGGTTTACTGAAAAAAGCACTTAAGGATATTTACACATTTGGTTCCACTGTTCAAAGACTGCAGCACAATCTGAATCAATACATTCATAATAACTTTGTGCAGTTGTCAGGGAATATAAAGCCTTTGTAATGTTATCTGGGAATGATCAGAGAGTGTCAGCTGAACTGGAAAAAACCCAGATGGCTCATTGGCATCATACAGTAGTATGTGCCTGTATGTGAAACAACACCTGTCAAACCAAAAACAGCCACACATCCCCATGACATGCATACAAAACACTTGTGTTACAGTAAAATGTGCAGTTCCTGTTCCACACCTTTTCACCGTCTCTCTGTCACATGTAAACATTCCCTCAAACAGCTGTTGTGCGTCTGACAGGCTTCCTTCAACCAGAACTCAAACAGAAAACTGCAGAAGCACATAAAAAAAAAGAGGAACATTTGGATTATATGCAACTACGTAGTCCATAAAGCGACTGGCAAAAAGCTGCTGGTCACTGAAGTGTAGAAAGTGTTTAAAAACTGATTGGGAGAGATATTCTGCTACAGGCTCCAAAGGAGCTGATGGATGGAAGTATAATCTCCATTTTACCACAGAGAGGATAAAACAGAGGTCTGACTGCTTCTCCATATGCTCCTCAGTGTAAAAGATCAGAATGAGAAGAGCAATGCAATGAAACTGCATTAAAATCAAAATAAATTAAATAACATTTTATCAAAAAAGGATGTTAGCAAACATAATTAAAGGAAGTGCAAAAACAGCCCCAAATTGAATAAAATTGATTTAGAAGAGGTTTGATCCAGACCCTGTCTATGACTGTCTAAGACATGTCACAGTAATGCAGAGTAGATGCATTTTTAAAGACTAATTTAAAAAACCCCACTACATCAGGGGAATTATAGCTATTCACAAACACTACTGAAACAATAACAGACAGTGCATTCACTGGGGACTCTTTTCAGCCATGAACGTGGTGCTAGTGAGGATTTACATCAGGATAGTCAGTGTGGGATTGACTGAAAACAAACTACACCACTCACATTTGTTGTAATAGAGGAACATCTGATACAACAGTGTGCATCACCGATGTGTTGTGAATTGAGGCCACAATCTATGACTGTCTGTGACATATGGGGAATAAGCTGTCAGGCTCTGGATACACAGAAAATACTTGTTAGGATCGGTTCCTCGCTGCTGTTTGTTCGCAATAACATAATATAGAAAATCTTCAGATTTAACCTTAAGACAGTGAAGAGCATTGTGTTAAGAGGTTCTTGTAACTCAGTGAACCAGTTGTATGTCGTCATCTTCATGATTATGATCACAGATTTTGTGTTGTTGAGAACCATGCAGAGAACAATCAGAAGGCACCTAAAAAGTCAGCCCCCAGGTAATAATATATTTTTTATTATTGCCTGAGACATTACAAATTACACGCTATAAAGAAAAATTTAATAAGCTAGAAAAAGGAGTGAAGACCATAGCTGACACGGAATAGCGTGGGCGTCTGCAGGCAGCACCTCAGTGAAATAACAAGGTGCATAATGGGAGGGAGAGCGGGGACCCTGCTGATCCCAGGCATCTGCTCTACTGTCTAAAAGGGAAGGAGTAACAGAGACATAGGTGGAGCATATGAAATGCATTAATGCTGTCAGGGAAAGCCTGGGAGCTCCAACCGAAGAGCCTGTGTTTATTTTTAGCCTTTACTCAAGTCTTGGGTAGGAATCTCCATACCTATCAGACATGTTGAAAAATGTAATCACCCACAAATTCAGCAACAGTGCTGGTTGTTTCTACACAACAATCACATCCATCCAATACTGATGCAGTTTTTTTGTGACTGCAACTCAGAGGTGCAGTCAGACAGGAAATCATTGACATTCATGCACCTGGTCTACCACCTGTCACCACTAGCAACCGAGCAGGCAGCTCACTCACACATCTGTTATCACTGCTGGAGACGTTCACATTCAGACCAGAGACATAAAATGAAGTGATATCTGCGTCCAAGCTGAACACTGTGTTTATGTTTCAATCAGTTTGCTGCTTTATTGTATGAACGCCCTCACAAAGCCTCATGAATAGACTCAAGTAAATTAAGGCACTGTTTCAGTTCAGTAAAAGTAATTTTATCAATACAGCTGCGTCTGAATACATAACACATAAGCACACATATCAAGAAAACACACCTGTTCATCTGTTTACACAGCTACACTTCTATGTACAATGCAACCCTTCACAAAGCACTGTAAAATATAACTCTTTTACTGCAATAAATAAATAAAAGCACAAACATATAAACATGGTACTAAAAATCACATTGGAATACTGACACTGCCTTATTGTTGCATGAAGAAACTACAGCAGTAATTAAATGAATTCTTCTTTTCTATATCTGTAAAACAAAACACGAAGAGACACATTAAGCATTGGCACAGGGACCTCGTTACACAAAAATGCCAATGAGAGATAATAAGTAATGTAAATATAGGACTACATGAATATTTAAGTGGAAAAGCTTAGTGTCAAGCCCAACAGTGTCAATGAGGCAACTTTATATTGTTCTGGGTGCTAGCAAACATCATTCCAAGTTTGAGCCAACACACTTTCCTTTTGTTCAGCTTCCTGTACCACATCTTCTTGTTACATTTTGCACGAACACGTCGGCACTAAACATGCTTAAAAGTGACATATTAGCACAGTTTCAGCATCTTTCTTCAATCTGCACTGGTTTCACTTAAACAAATGTGCATCAGATAAGAAGAAATATACGATGACTACATGTAGCAGGTCTGAAAAACACGAGCCCCTCATCTTTCATTTCTAGTGTTTTGTGCTTCACGTTATGCTTGGCTTGTACGTGAACAGTCTGCCTGATAAATGAAAAAGGGCTAGTTTGCTCCATGACAAGACAATCACCCACTAGAAAGATGGAAGCTGATGTGTTGCTGATATTGGGTATATGCCTTTTCTCACTATGTGCTGAATTTAATAAATATAGCGCCCGAGGGAGGAGATATGTATGTGGGACCTGAGAAAGGAAGGCAGTGAAGGATGGACAGTTGAAAGCAGAGAAGGGGAAAGGTGCAGCTGCAGGGGCCCAGGCAGCCAACAAAGACCACACAGACAGACACACAGAAAATAAAGAGACATTCAACACCCACCGGTGGCTCAAGCTAAGGTGCATGACACTGAATCTGAAACAACCTCAATATCTTTATCACTGTTTCCAGTAACTCTCCAATTTACAATAAAAAAGACAAAAAAGGACCACAAACTAATCCTTTAAATATCCAAAAAAATAATATAGAAAGTGAGAAATGCTTTGTGAAGACGCCACGATCCCGTCCTGGTTCTGATGCTACATCAATGTCTTTCCCCACATGCAGGTTGGCTTTTTAGAGTCTAAAACTGATTAACATTCATAGGTACACAATGGTTTCCTCCCTGCCCTCCTCCTCCTCACCGCTGTCGGTCTCCATGGAAACCAGTGCACCGAGGTCCAGCTGCGAGTCACTGGGATGTGGCAACACCGGATACGGGTCAGCTCCACTTGCTGTTGATGACCAGGTCTCCCCGATGTAGCTATGTCTGTTATGATCTGAGTGGATACATGAAAAATGACTGATAATAAACACATTCAAACCAAATACACTTCAACATTTAGTAAGCACTGATACATAATCACCAGAATGGGACATGTAGCCACCTGTTTAATGAGCTCTGTCTAATTGTTTAACTCACTCTTCTAATCACTAACAGCATAAAGATCGCAGCTGCTGCAGCTCCCTCCTGCGCCGGAGCATGAGACTGAGCATGACAACAAAAAGATTTTCAAGCTATCCATCATCTCCCCTCTACTTAGACATGTCAATTTTATCTTTGTCTTTGTCAACATAATCAATCATCATGGTGGGGATTTGATGACACAAGCCTCTTCAAACCTGACAGTTATAGGGTCTGGAAACAAGGAAGGATGAATAACTAAGATCGGAGCTCTCAACCAGATAGCCAGGATTCAAACGTACTCCATACTGAAGTGTGTTTGAGCTAAATATTATATCACCAGTTCTCAACATTAGAGGAGCTCCCTTTATAAATCAATAACATTGTTGTTTAATTACAGGAGATCTCAAAGAGAACAGGTTTCTGTGGGTGCTATCTATCTGATAACGTGTGTGCTTGCATTCTTGCAATTTTGCGCATGGTGGGAGCTGTCTAGCATTAGGGCAGGTGTGCTGTCATGGTAACAGATGGCATGAACTATAAATTGCCTCACTGTGTCCCTGTAGGAAAGTGTCTCTATTTGATTAATTATATAAGAGTCTGTTAGAGGAGCTCTAGTAGCCGCCGTATAGGCCTGGCGTCTGACAGATGAGTCATCAGTATGCCACCAGATGACAAAAATACTCAATCCCTGTCTAAGTGCTTTATCCATGAGGAAATAAGATTCTGGCATTATTAAGCATTATTAATATTTTACAACAGAGACAGCAAATTGATGCTATTTAAAGAAAGCAATGGTGAGCCAGTGAAATGCAACTACAGGACAGTAATGTTAAGCTGTTAAAAATGTTAATGATGTGGCTTTACCTGTTTTGCTAAAAATGTTAATGATGTGGCTTTACCTCCTCTGTTTTGTCCAGGTACCCATGTCAGAAGAATTGTGTAAATCTAGCTTCATGCTTATGCGTTGATAGCACTAAAATATCCTGTACAACCTTTGCACTATATTGCCTAAAATGTCTGATATCTGCTTACTACCTTGATGAGTCAGACAAAAACTAATTTGCTGTGAGGCATCAGAGTTCTATTTTATTCTGTGTTAGTCATGACCACAGTATTGAGTGAAATAACCACTGTCCAGATTCTTTGTTAGAAAGTCATAAAGCAGGTTTGTGCAGCGTATTATACAAGATGTGAATGGAGCTACATACTGAGAAGAGCACCAGTTTCATTTCTCTTTTCTTCCCCAGCCTACTCACGACACTCTCATCCATTGTATGCAAAGGTAAGTAACAAAAACCCAATACGACTCATCCAAAAGACAGGCCAAGAAAATTCCATCCAACTGGTTCACCAAGATTACATTGTGGAGGAACAAATTATGAAAATCCATTGAATGAAAAAGGGTGTGTGTGAGAGAAATCTTCAGGTGAGGATGAGGAATGAGCTCCAATTCTGATCCATGTGATTGACAACACAATGGAGAATTTGCATTTGATCACATATCCTTTCTCACACACACACACACATACACACACACACACACACACACGCACACACACACAAAATCAAAAATACCAGATTCCTCCACATAGCAGGCAGTGTGTGACGCACTGAAGTCGCAAAGTAGCTCTTAAATCTGAAATTGCACATAAAATACTAAAATGGCTCCTTATAAAAGTTTAAATCTAATGGGAAATAATATGACTGTGAATTATATTCAGTGTCTAAGATTATTTCCTCACAGGCCCTCATGGGAACCACTGAGGAATGTGTTGTGGGTAAATGTCAGCTGGAACACACCCTGCGGTGTAGACTGCAGCCAAGTATACACCCCATGCTTGTTAAGAAGTGACTCAGGTTTCACTGAGACTTGTGTGCTTAATAACGAGTAAAGACTAATAAGCTGATCAATGAGGGAGTGATCGTGCCGACTTCAATAGCTGATAAACAATAGCACAAGCTCCACATCAGGTGCAGTTAACGCTAACCTCATTTTTACAGGAGCTTAGCGACAGGTCACATGTAACCTGTAATTTTCCTCGCCCGCCCTGAATATTAGAATGCGCATGAATGGATTAGGAACGGGGACGATCAAACGTGAGAAGGTAGCTGACACCAATTAAAACGTGTCTGCATCTCTCGTTCCTCTCCCGTCACCTCCACCTTTCGCCTGATGTGATGACAAGTCGTGCTGTAATGAGTTTTATAAAGATTTTTTTTAAATCGATGCCCCAATCAGTCAGCCATCACCTGTGAACAGTGATTCACACGCTGTTGTCTGCCCTGCCACTCAACCGATAGAAAAGCCATTGATTTTTTTCTTTCCTTTGGCAACTGAGGGCCTTGGCTTGCTGCTGGCGTAGGTGGAGTTGATGGGGAAGAGAGGGTGGTTTCATTGTCAGAAAACACTGATTAAATGAGGAGAAGGACAGACAAGGCCTCACCTAGGACACAGCCTTGATAGCAGTGTACATGTGTGTGTGTGTGTGTGTGTGTGTGTGTGTGTGTGTACAATAAGCTCTCACACACACGGGTGAAACCAGTGCAGCCAGAGGGTTTGTTTGCATTCTCACAGGGAGCAGATTATTTTGAGCAGTAGTGTCAGTGTGATTGTACTGTCCAGTACAAGAGGCACTGGGACTGTGTAATATCGTGCAATTAGCTCTAAAATACAGGATTTTAAACATAACCAGTGATTAGACTAATTGTTCTACTTGATACATTAATTAGAGAATGTTTCCATGGCAGCTTACCTTCACAGATGGCATCTGAAGATAACAGTAGAAGGTTTTTAGTTTTGCTATGTTGCTTTGAACCAGTTGTGCATCTCAAAAATGTGAGACAATCTGAGAAATGTTCAAGTCAAAATCTGCATCTTATTGACTTCTCACACCTGTAACTCAGGGACATAAGTGCCTAATTTTAAGGAGCTACAAACCGTAGAATTGGGAAGACACAGTCTAATGTGATAGTTAAGAGAACAGATATGGTTTTGGACTATTGGTTGGACAAAACTAAAAATCTGAAATTGTCACATTTCCCTTTTTTTGACATTTTACATTTGGTAAAACATTAACTTGGTGGTCATTCCTACCATTGGGCATGTGCTGCAGTCCCAGACTTCCTGCAGGGCTGTAGTGGTATCCTGTCCCCATCGCCCATCTCTGGGAGTCTGAGTGTGGACCGTGGGGAGTCTTGGCTGTGGGGGTCTGTCTGCTGTTGGATCTAGCCAGGAAGGTGTTGAGACAATTGTGAGTGCTGGGGTCACTTCCTTTACGATGGATGTGGTGGTTGTTGATGCTGGTGCTGGTGAACGCAGCCTCATTCACAAACACGGAGCCGTTGCCAGCGTGGTCTCTGGGCTGAATCGGCACCAAGTCCTGAAGGAATGAGCAAATGTCATGGTCACATTCATTTACAGGGCTGAAAAATGTCTGTGTACCTGGAATAAATCCAGGTCATATTGCTGCTTGGATGAAAACTGCTAAAGACAGAATGGACATTGATGGTTGGACTGGCTCTAAACTCCAACTGCTCAATGGCCAGCAGATCAGATGGTGGTAGTACTGGGCAGGTTCCAGGTGTCAATATGAAAAGGACATTCCTGGAAAGAAGGGCTGCCTCTCAGTAAAACTATCTTGTAATACATAAATGTAAAAAAAAAAGTCCAATGCCCAGGTTCCCACTTACATCTAGTTGTATTTAGTCATTTCTGCTTCAACCCCAATACAATGAAAGTAAATGGGATTTCATGTGTGGTGTTCACTGCACTGAAACATCACTTACTGTATATTCTACTGATTCATTTTTTATAAGACAATTTCTTCTGAAAGGAGCAGTTCTCAGAAAAACTGGTCACAGTGTGTTTTGTTTCGTCCTGAGTAATGGAGAGGCTGTTTCTGAAAAAACAGTTTGCTGCTGGATGTAATTTTTCAATGTTTTGAGCATCACAAACAAAACTCCATTGTATTAGTGTAGAGGTAAAACTCTCGGAGTTGGATATCTCAAATTTTGGACAAATAAAACTAAAAATACATGGCTAGAAACAACTAGAGGTATGTCGGGAAAATGTGTAGTCATTTGGATGAACTGACCCTTTAATGTGTGATGAAAGGCACTGCCTCTCCTTCTATCGTCTCCCAACACCCCTCTGTCTTGTCCCATCTTCACATCCACATGGCCTTTCCTCTGCTGCACAGAGGCAGCACAGCTAGTAAGAAACAACCTGAGAGCTGGTGTGTGTGTGTGTGTACATCATTCGATCTGTTTCTGACCCCGTGAACCACTGCCTCTGGCTAAAGCATTAACGGGGGAACATTAGGACCTCCGGTGCCTCTGCACGCCTTTTCAGACCACTGCTGTTAATGCAGCCTCTGCACTGACTAAAATAGATGAACTTAAATAATATGACTGCAAAAATTCAGGAGCACCTCATCGTGTCTGACCTCTAACATGTTCTGTAAATTAATGAGGGACAGAGGGAATGTTGAAACAGGACTCTGCTCATTTGCCTGTCGCTCTGGGGGCTCTATATGCACCTTCTGAACACTCGCACCTGCTCAACCGAGCAGCACAAAGCTGTACCCAACAGAGGCTCGTATATTTGCTATATTCGTTTCACCACTGTTTTTCCGTGAGTACACTGAGACCTAAAGTGCACAGAGAACAGGGAACACCGTGCCTTCCAGCTCCAGGGGATATTTCACTGTAGCTGTTCAAACAAAGTGTCGATAATTTAAGTCCTTTCGGACATGACTGATTGGCTTTGTGGGCTGTGTGCCTCTGGTTTTAACTATTTTGTTGGAGCTTTTATTTGCAACGGCTTAATAATCATTAATCATTAAGATGTTTGTGTGTGGAGCTGCTGGAACACCAAGACAAATGATGCTGAAATTGCTCTCATTATCACAGGTCACATATCAAGAGTGGACTGAGCTGCTCTGTGTTAATGAATGAACCAGCATAACTTAGGCCGATAGATGGCTGAGAAAAGCTTCTCATTAGCCAAGAAAAACTCCTTAGACACTACATAGTTAAATCACACTTGTGTCAGGGTCAAGAGAATTATTGAGCTCTCGTCTAATGCCATAGGTTTTTCAAAAAGGACAGAAGAAAGAAATAGCTGTCAGTTGTATGCTCCCCCCCCCACCTGCTGCCCATTTAGAGGGATGACCATGTGAGGCAATGTCGTCTGCTGGTCTTGCTTCCAGGTCTGGAGCAGCTTTTGCTGGTTCCCCAGATGCTCACGGTCCCTCTCGACACTCCTCTGGCCCTCCCTGAGCCGCTCCAGGCTCTGCTGGTACTCCTGCTGCTGTTGGTCCAGTTCTTCTTTCTTGCACCTCAGCCTTTCCATCTCCAGGTGGTACTGCCTCTCTCTTTCTTCCAACTTGCTCTCCTGCTCCCCCTGTTGGCTCTCCCTGGCCTGGCACGCCCTCTCCCAGCGCTCCTTCTCTTGGCGTAGTTGGCCCTGGAGCCGCTGAGCCAAGTTACGTTGCTTCTCCTGTTCTTGTAGGGTGCTGCCCCGGATACTTGGAAGGTGTGGCCGCTGGGCACCTGGGTATGGGCGCCCGGTCTCTTGGAGGAAGAGCCTCTGGACCTCATAGCAGCTGTCCTGGATGGTCACGGCAGCCTAGCACACCCACAGAAAGGCACAAAGATGAGGTTCATAAAAATGCAAAGGCTGAACACCTACTGTAACTCCATGTGCTTCCTCACAACAGGCAGTAAGAGAAGGTGAGCTGAATGACAAAATGTGACAGAAATAATGATCAGCTTCTGTTGTGCTCTGACTTTTTATGTATTAGGGCGACAGCACCACAGATAAGACAGTGGTTTTTAGGTTCAAGTATGCAAGAAAGGATATAGTACTTTGAATATGAAAATGGCATTTGAAAACCCTCAAACCTACACAAGGCATGTGTGTGCACATCCTTATGCAAAAATACACACATATTCTCTCTGCACAAATTTACATTTTATAACAAAGAGGAGGGGCGGCACAGTGGCGCGGGTTTGGGCTTCTGTGTGGAGTTTGCATGTTCTCCCTGTGCCTGCGTGGGTTCTCTCCAGGTGCTCCGGCTTCATCCCATGGTCTAAAGACATGCAGCTTAGGTTGACGGGTGAGTCTAAATTTCCCATAGGAATAAGTGTGAGTGTGTGTGGTTGTTTGTCTGTGGCAACCTGTCCAGGGTGTACCCCGCCTCTCTCAGATTACAGAAGACTGGATGGACCAAATAGGAGTGTGTACTTTATAGTGAAACAAAAGCCCCTCCTATGACTCTTGGCAGAAAAAAAGATTAGTAGGACCCTCCTGTCTGTGGCAAGCTACCTCTGGCTTCAAACAGCAAAGTGAAGTCTTGGTTCTGTTTACTAAAGCTGGAATGTGCAGTCATATTAAATCCTTCATCTCAAACTAGTTCATGTATGAAAGTAACACTGCATATACAACATATGTTCATATTGAAGAGAAGAAGTGTGTTTCTTAGCTTCTTGAATGGATGATAATACAGATGAAGGCTTTTTACAAATGTACAGTGTTGGTGGTAATGCACTCACCTGCAGACTGTAGAGTAACTGGGTCAGGCTCTGGACACTTTGAACAATCTGATATTGGACAAAACCACACACAGGATACAGATTAACAAGCCTGCTGTGACTTCTATGCATGATTTTGAAGATTTCATGTCACAATTAGTTTCTGTTAAATAAAAAGTCACACAAGGAACTTAAAATATTTTCCTCCTCATGTCAAAATTTGATGTTGCATTCGTGCAGCATTTGTGCCCCCTTGAGGCAGCACGGTGTCATACCACACTATTTAGGGTTGAATTATAACAGCAGTCAAAAATAAAATCATTTTCTCTGTCATTTACTTCACAGGTCACAAAAAGATGCCAGTGGTGTGGCATGATAATTGGAACAAGTCCCCATATTCATTTTTAATGGTGCAATACCTCTGGTAACTAAACAGACTTATTCCTTTAGTATGAGCTTATCAATGATTCATCACATTGAGACTGAAATGTAATTCTAATAGCCTGTGCTGAATTATTAAAACAACCGTTGGCAATCTTGAGCCACACATCTGTGAAGAAATGGAACGAGGTGACGTCTGTAAGAGGCTATAACAACCTGTAATACCTCTGCAACCCCACTCTACCGCCGCCACCACCACAACAGTAGTAATGGGAAAACATTACATCATATTGCTGCATCAATATTTAACTCAAAAAACCACCAACAATGCATGATTTCAATTTATATAAAGAGGATCAAGCACACATTGCCATAAGCTAAATAGATTTCTATAGCAGGATCTCGGCTGTACCTTCAAGTTAATGTCATTTGAGTCTGTTTTTTGGAAGTTAGTTGGGGACTGAGAAACAAAGGGCTCAGTCCAACTCCCCTCTCTGGCCTCAGGGTTTTCAGGTGAGACCTCTGAAGAGTCTAAGGGGGACTCCAGAGGTGTGGCAGGGCTGGCAGGAACCACAGAGTCTGTGTCAGAGTCCACACTGTGACTGGATGGAGAACAGGCCTTGGATGACAGCATGGCTTTCAGGTTCTCAGCTAGGAAAAAAAAAATACACGTGAAACTAAGTGTGCATCTGAGCTACTGCAGGTTCTTATAAGGTCTTATAATGTATGTGGGGCTGAACTCCATGAGTTTGGTTAGATAAATACAACACCACATTATGTGGCTAAAAATGAAAATCCTTCAAAGAGGTTCTCACAACAACAAAACACCTGGAGGCAGGGTAAAAAATGGCTGACCATTCTCATATTTTCTGGACTTGCCCATTAATTTTTTCCATAAAATATAATGCTGATCACTCTTTTGTTATCTTATACTATACTTGGGCAAAATGCATTTATGCCACAGGCAAAAGAAAATAAACTACAACTGTCTCAACTCAACTCAACTTTATTTATATAGCGCTTTACCACAGCACAGCTGACCAAAGCACTTAACATATCATACAAATCTAAAATCATCACATAAAAAACTATAAACAATAAAATAAACACTCTAACACTACAGACAGAGTCTCATTCCTGGCCAAACGCCAATGAATACAAGTAGGTCTTCAAATAAGACTTAAAAGTAGACAGTGAGGGGGCCTGCCTAATATAAAGAGGCAAAGCATTCCACAGGTTTGGACCCA